TTATTTTATACAATAAATTCATCAACTCCTAAATAAATTTAATTAATTTTAAAGTTCCTTTTCTTTCAATCCACCAAACGCTTAATATTACATTTTTAAATGCACTACCAATCATGCGTCAAATTTACCAAATTATAGATTAATACTGCCAGTCAATTGAGACTACCTTCCTTTCTTCGAATTAAAATAACTTGTATCTTATCACTACTGTGTATATACTGTATATATATTAATTAAATGTTTTGTAATTTGTGTAAATTTTTTTTTTTTGTAAAAAGGAATTAAAGGAATAAAATTAAAAACAATAAAAGCCCAAATTGTTTGTTTGAACGATTTCGTGGGCTAATAAAATAATCTACTTAAAATTTTTGGAACATTCATTAGAAATCGATCACAATATGGAAGTGGACGACAAAATAATAATTATATGTGCAAACATTTAACGTACACATAAATATTATTATACATTTTAACAATTCCATTAAATATTGCAACACGCTCATAATATTATAAGGATAATGAAAAATGCATCACCCTGTATAATTGTGACGCATGTTTATACAGTATATATTATCATACTTTTTACATGACATTAAAACATTTTAATTTGCCTATGTGGACGGCATGCAATAACAATGTAAATAAAAACGCTTCTTATTTTTACCATTGCATGACCAAATTATAGATTTTAGGCAAACTTTTTAGAAACTATTTCGTGAGTCATTAAACCAGCAGCTATTAATTTTGTATCTGGTGTAAGAATATTCAAAATAAATATTATCGGTCCATATAAATTCCGGTTTTTGAATAAATTTTCAAGCAGTTTTATCAATGTCTCACCATAGATCAATTTACTTTGAATAAATTGTCTATATTAATAAAATAATCAGTAACGTAATAATTGTAGGTTGTAAACTTATAAGAAAAACGAGTCAGTGTTAAATGCAAATAAAAGTAAATACAATTAAAAAATATGAATAAATGATACTTTGCAAAGATAACGATCATCAGCAGCAAAATTCTTATGAAAAATCTTGTGGTGCTTATAACTCCCTGAATCTCCTTTTTTCAGATGGTTGTGTGATCTTGGAAATACGCCATGAAAAAATTTACCTCCCACAAAATTCAATAAACACATACAACATACTTATTACTTAATAGTGGTTTTGTTATGCACTTATATAAGATTCAGTGACCACAAATGGAATTTGTGAAAAATCAAAACCTGAAATGCTGAATACACCTCCTAATCCCTCGAATTCCAATTATCATATTCAATGTTTATGTTTTATTTTTAAAATATTTAGGTATATTTTTCCAGAACAATAAAAGTAATAAGAATAGTTACATTATTTAGTTACAGTTTATTTTCACATTCATATGGTCATCATATATTAAAAGTTATTACTTTGTTTATGAAGACGTTAGTAGTTTATGRAAATTGCATATTTAACTAGTCTAGTTTGAAAACTTGATATTATACCTAATAAATAATATMCAAATCGCTTACTCGAGCGTATTATTATATGTTCTAATATAGCACAATWTGTTCTMCTTCTAAAACATACATACATGTCTTAGATTACAAAATATAACTCATGAATACATGAGTACCTACATTTTTATTGACCTTAATATTGTCTACGCAATACTGCGGCATAGTCTGACGTAATGCAGATCGTGACATTTCGTAAATATTGCAATATGACGTACACAAGGCACTCACGAATTTCCATCGATCAATCACCCACACCTACCTACCAAARRGTGTCCACMTAGTTCGCTTACCTTTTGCATTACTCTCGGCAACTGGTCCATCGTTACCTTGGTTCGGGTCKGAAGTCCTGAAGATTTTTGGTTATCATTCGCGATCCACGGCTTGATGGTCTCACAAGTCTGCACCAGACATCGGATGTACCTGATCGTTTCCGCGTCTTCCCTACGTCGGTCCGGCGTCCAGTAGCGACC